CTGCGCTCTTCCTGAGAGAGAGAGAGAGAGAGAGAGAGAGAGAGAGAGAGAGAGAGAGAGAGAGAGAGAGAGAGAGAGAGAGAGAGAGAGAGAAAGAGACAGGGAGAGAGAAATATTGCAGCAAAGTGGTACGAAAAAGCTCTGTATTTTACGGTTCTTCTCTCACGTTTCATTATTTTTGCTTGTGTGTGAGTGATGGTTATTGATATTGGGTGGACTGGTGGTGTACCCCCGAGGTCTCTGCCACCTGCTGGTCTGTGCCACATTGATCTTGCCGTTATATAGTGTTGGCAGAGAAGCGAGGAGCTTGATCCTGGCGTCATACCACAACATTCAGTGGACAAACGAGGAATAAGTTCACAAAACTACCGTTTATAACAGCAAAAAAGGGATACTGTCTGAACAGTAAACAGTGAACAGGATGAACAAAATGTATACGACGGTTTAACAGAGCGTTCCTAAACTACATAGCGTGAGGCCCGGTTTCTCACGCCCTCACAATCTTTCTTGGTAACTCACCCATATATTCTCTCACATGCATTCCCCAGAGTGCTACACTAGCTTGAAAAGCAGTCTGGAGTAAGTGGTAGGTCGTTCACTGATATGGCTATGAGAATACCAACCAGACAGGAGTCAAAGAGTCATACCGAGGAGTGAGACGGCGGACTGGCGTAAAGTAACAAGCGGAGTACCTCAAGGAGTACCTCAAGGAGTACCTCAAGGATCGGTGCTGTAAATCATACTATTTCTCGTCAAAGTTAACTACCAAAATACAGGAGTTGAGTCGAGGATGTCGATGCTTGCAGACGATGGAAAATTATATCAAAGAGAGGAGACAGGTGAAGATTGATAGATTCTACAAGATGATTTAGACAAAATGCAGAGTTTACCCAAGAAATGGGTTCTGGATTTCAACACTTGCAAGTGTAAGATGATGGAAATTGGAACAAGTGCTAGGAGACCAGAAAAATGGTTAGCAATTATCATATACGAAACTAAAGCTCGATATTTTAGGCACAATTAGTGAACTGCAAATTAGATGAATACACACACACACACACACACACACACACACACACACACACACACACACACACACACACACACACACACACACACACACACACACACACACACACACACACACACACACACACACACACACACACACACCAAATGCATTAGGCAGTGTTGTGGTGGAGGCTGACTCCATACACAGTTTCAAATATAGATATGATAGAGCCCAATAGGCTCAGGAACCTGTACACCAGGTGATTGACGGTTGAGAGGCGGGACCAAAGAGTCAGAGCTCAACCCCCGCAAGCACAACTAGGTGAGTACACACAGTAAAAACACTTCAACTCTTAAATTTCATAACGATTATGTTTTATGAAGATAACAGTCATAAAAGACATGAATCTAAGTGAATCTAGGACTGTAACTGGCAATGATATCAAATGGTAAATCTAGAGAAGAACAGAAGTTGAAAGCCGCGTCCCAATGAAATTTGCTGGTGTGGCGAAGTTGGAGGCTGGTGATACAAGGTGATCCCCGCCGGTTATCTCCCAACTACGAGATGATATCATGTGATCACAATGCAAATGTGATAACTTCCTTCCGGAAGACTGGGTAGATGAGCCCACGAGGCCGCCGCTCCCGTCTGGGGATGCAATTAAAAGTTTTTTTTAAGGATCTTCCGAAGTTTGTCAAGACAATACTTGGGGGATCGTAGACGTGTGTGTGTGTGTGTGTGTGTGTGTGTGTGTGTGTGTGTGTGTGTGTGTGTGTGTGTGTGTGTGTGTGTGTGTGTGTGCTCACCTATTTGTACTCACCTATTTGTACTCACATATTTGTGCTTGCGGGGGTTGAGCTCTGGCTCTTTGGTCCCTCCTCTCAACCGTCAATTACCTGGTGTACAGGTTCCTGAGCCTACTGGGCTCTATCATATCTCTATTTGAAGCTGTGTATGGAGTCAGCCTCCACCACAACACTGCCTAATGCATTTGATGTGTGTGTGTGTGTGTGTGTGTGTGTGTGTGTGTGTGTGTGTGTGTGTGTGTGTGTGTGTGTGTGTGTGTGTGTGTGTGTGTGTATGTAATTACCTAAGTGTAGTTACAGGATGAGTACTAAGGGATTTATACGTCAAAATCAACTATAATTTGACGCCGAATCAAACCTTATCAACTATAATTCGACGCCGAATCAAACCTTATCAACTATAATTCGACGCCGAATCAAACCTTATCAACTATAATTCAACGCTGAATCAAACCTTATCAACTATAATTCGACGCTGAATCAACCTTATCAACCTTATCAACTATAACTCGACGGTGAATCAACTTTATCAACTATAATTCGACGCTGAATCAACCATATCATCTATCATTCAACGTCGAATCAATACTGAATTTACGTTACTCTTGGGAACCGTGTACACTACGGCGATATAGTTCATCTCTTGATCTTCGTCAGTGGTGAAAAAAATTCGCTGATAGAGTAGATATATCTTAGCGATGGCTGCCCACCGGACCCCCTTCAACGCTTCAGAGTAACAACACACATATAACATATATTCTATATATACATCTATATATATATAGATATACATATACATCTATATATATCTGTTCTATATAACATCTTGCTTGATAAATTTTTGCTTCTGGACATTTTTGGTTCTGGAAATTTTTGCTTCTGGACATTTTTGGTTCTGGAAATTTTTGCTTCTGGACATTTTTGGTTCTGGAAATTTTTGCTTCTGGACATTTTTGGTTCTGGAAATATATATGTTCGGTGATGGGGTCCTCGTAGCCTGGTGGATAGCGCGCAGGACTCGTAATTCTGTGGCGCGGGTTCGATTCCCGCACGAGGCAGAAACAAATGGGCAAAATTTCTTTCACCCTGAATGCCCCTGTTACCTAGCAGTAAATAGGTACCTGGGTGTTAGTCAGCTGTCACGGGCTGCTTCCTGGGGGTGGAGGCCTGGTCGAGGACCGGGCCGCGGGGACACTAAAGCCCCGAAATCATCTCAAGATAACCCTCAAGATGGAAAGCTATGTTCGCTGAAGCAGTGACAACAGCAGCAGCAGCACAAGCCGGTGCAGTGGCTGCAGCAGCACCAGCAGCAGCAGCTGCAGCAACAGCTGGATCAGCAGCTGCAGCAGCAGAAGTAAAATAAATGACAATAGGAGCAGTACTATTAGTAAAAGGAACAAAAACAGAAGAAAGCAGCAGCAACAGCAGCAGCAACAGCAGCATCAGTAGCAGCAGCAACAGCATTAAAATCAGCAGAGAGAAAAACGTTGGAGAAATGTGTACTCAAATTCTTTAATGAGTTGGGTGATAACCTCATTACAGCAACAAATGACCCAAGAGACAAAAATTTTCCGTTCCTGCACCTCAGCCTTGCAATATATATATATATATATATATATATATATATATATATATATATATATATATATATATATATATATATATATATATATATATATATATGTCGTACCTAGTAGCCAGAACGCACTTCTCAGCCTACTATGCAAGGCCCGATTTGCCTAATAAGCCAAGTTTTCATGAATTAATTGTTTTTCGACTACCTAACCTACCTAACCTAAACTAACCTAACTTTTTCGGCTACCTAACCTAACCTAACCTATAAAGATAGGTTAGGTTAGGTTAGGTAGGGTTGGTTAGGTTCGGTCATATATCTACGTTAATTTTAACTCAAATAAAAAAAAATTGACCTCATACATAATAAAATGGGTAGCTTTATCATTTCATAAGAAAAAAAATAGAGAAAATATATTAATTGAGGAAAACTTGGCTTTTTAGGTGCATTCTGGCTACTAGGTACGACATATATATATATATATATATATATATATATATATATATATATATATATATATATATATATATATATATATATATTATATAAACGAGATAGTGTATTCACTGAATAAGGTAAGCGGGGCATCACGGTGAAAGTAACTCTGCCCATTTGTTTCCGCCTCCGCTGGGGGATCGAACCCGGACCCTGGGGACTACGAACGCCGAGCGCTCTCCCCTCAGCCGTCAGGCCCCCCTTTTGTTTTCGCAATTGGAGCCAATCCTACATAAAGAGAGGCATGGGAGCGACCCCTTACTGTCCTATGGCACCCGCCATGTAATCACAATTTACCATGGAAAGCTGTATGAGGCTAACTTTAACTAGGAGGCCTCCAACCTTCGATAGACAAACATTCTCTATAGTAGATACAGATACATGAATGTGTATACACTGGGTTCTAAGTCAACCTGCTTCCAACTGGAGGTTTGGGAAGGTTTTCGATAGCATGAAGTCTTAGCTTCAACCGGTTCCAACACTCGCTGCCGACCTAACGGGACGTTCCTTTGTTAGTTCCGTTAGTGTAGGCCGAGATACGTAAGTAGCAAATGGTTCCAAACACTGTTACGTCAAGGCAACTGTGTTTGCCTTCACTCTGCATTCCATAAATATACCTTAACTCTGCTTCCTCTAGCAGCAGCATCTCAGTGAGAAATGGGTTTTCTGGGCGGGTTCACACAAGTGATATAAGCTACTGAGTCCAGTTTCATCAGGAATAGTTATGACAGTCCTAATGAACCCTATCATTAAAGAGAGAGAACCGACTTGAGAATGGTCCAGGACCGACCGAAACGTCGTCGTCCCTTCACCTTCTAGTGTGTGGTCTGGTCAACATACTTCAGCCACGTTATTGTGACTCCTCGCCTGGTTAAACTAAAGGAACTATCTGGGGAAAGCATCAAGCCATTACGACTATATAGCACTTGGAAGGGGTCAGGATAAGGATTTGGGATGGGACGGGTGGGAAAGGAATGAGTCCCAACCACTTGGACGGTCGGGGATTGAACGCCGACCTGCATGATGCCAGACCGTCGCTCTACCGTCCAGTCCAAGTGGTTGTCGCCTGCTTAAAGAGAGAGACTTCTTAATAACTTATTCATCTTCCCCGCAGGCAGGCCAGCTGGACGGCGTGGGAGGCGCTGCCCTGGGCCCGCTGCCGCCATGGATGATAGCGAATCAGAAGCGGCAGAGACGGAGCCGCTGGTGCGTCATGGGACTGGAACTGTCCACGCGGGGGCGGAGACGACGGAGACGGCGGCGGCGAGGGGGCGTGTGGCTGGCCCAAGGTCACCAGGGGTTCGACCCCTTGCAAACATCCGGCCGCGACTCTCCCTCGTGCCTGAGACAAATGAGAAGAGTGCTGAGGAGGACAACGAGCAGCGGAGTTGTAAAGGATGGAGCGAGAAAGCCGCTCCGGATTCCCCGACGCCCATCTGTCCAATATTCGGCGTGAAGAACTACCTTCACCAGTTCTACGAGAAGCAGGATATCAGCGACCCAGCCCTCTATGAGGACCTGCCTCCGGTCAGTTGCTTAACCCTTAGACTGCGCTTAACGTTAATTTGTAATAGCACTAATACATAAAAACCAATAGCATTTCTTACTGCAGGCGATGAGTCACAATAATGTGGCTGAAGTATGTTGACCAATCCACACACTATAAAATGAAAGGACGACGACGTTTCGGTCCGTCCTGGACCATTCTCAAGTCGATTGGGACTTGGTCCACAATCGACTTGAGAATGGTCCAGGACGGACCGAAACGTCGTCGTCCCTTCATTTTCTAGTGTGTGGATTGGTCAGCATTTCTTACTGTTTATATATTTGTAAAATTGGCAAAAAGATATATATATATGATGCTAATATTACATAATTGGAAGAAAAACTCACTATTTAGAAGCATTTGTGTTTGTTAACTCTGTCAACATTGACTTTTATCTTATAATAACACTAGAAAATGTATGATTGAAGGATATCAATATTAAAGTCGAGGATCAATTGGCCTTTAATATGCATAGTAATTCACAACTCTGTTAGTTGTGGGATTTTACTATTAATTACTCACACATCACTTTTGTTGATGGGTATAGCTATATCGACGTTTCTGAGCAGATATCAAGTATAATATTCAGTTCCTGATTATAATTTGCATTTTATTTGGCCATAAAAACTTCGTCTCAATTTGAAGACTTTTGAGATCTTGCAGTTGTCAATTTTTCCTTTGACTTGATGATGCACCAAATTTTCTGCAAATTAGAGGTCTCAGGACAGACCCTTAGGGTATCCATATGCAGGCGAGGAGTCACAATAACGTGGCTGAAGTAGTTTGACCAGACAACACACTAGATGGTGAAGGGACGACGACGTTTCGGTCCGTCCTGGACCATTCTCTAGTCGATTGTGAATCAAGTCGATCGACAATCGACTTGAGAATGGTCCAGGACGGACCGAAACGTCGTCGTCCCTTTACCTTCTAGTGTGTGATCTGGTCAGGCCCTGAGGGTGCTCAAATTGTAAATGATCCCCACCCAAACGTCTCCCTATTTAGGGTATGTCTCCCATACTTCCTACCTGTTAACCATGACCTAAACCAATTTAGCATTAGATCTGGTACCCTCTTTCCTCATAAGGCCCCCTTGCGGATCAGTGTCTTACTGGCTCTTGCCTCAAAATAATGTTTCCCATATGACACCTTAACCCACCATATGACACTTTAACCCACCATATGACACCTTAACCCACCATATGACACCTTAACCCACCATATGACACCTTAACCCACCATATGACACCATCAGTAATGTGTCCTTTTTTGACAAACTAATAATATTACGAAAGTTGAATTTGTCACTGAGTATTACTCTTAAGATATTACTTGTTTAAGATATCAGGGAATAAATCCCCTCCAGAGATTTCTGATATATAAAAATTAGCTATAATCACTAAACGAACAGCCCAGGAATTTAGGGAAGTGCCCGGGGATTTAGGGGAGTGCCCAGGGACTTAGGGGAGTGCCCAGGGATTTGGGAAGTGCCCAAGGATTTAGGGGAGTGACCAGGGATTTAGGGAAGTGGAAGCTGTGGGTTTAGGGTAGGAGATGCTTGGAGATAGGGGGGTATGGGATGGGAGGTGGGTAAGGGGGGCTCAGGGAAAGGGAAAGTGAGGGCTTAAGGGGGTGGGACTGTTGCCCACAAATCATCACGTGTAGTTACTGCAGATGATGAAGGTCTAGATGGCTGCAGGTGTGTGGAACTGTGTAGTTACCGGCACAGCTGGACCATTAGGCCAGGCTTGTAATTAATTGCCTTGCTTGGGAGGCGTTCCTGAAGAGTGTTGAGCCTTTTCTGCTGGAATTTAGACTTTTTTCGGAAAATATTGCAGTTTTTAGACTTTTTGTGAGAAATATTGCTGTGTTTAGACTTTTGCAGGTTATGAGTTGAACTTTAAACTTCATTTTCTTTGTTTATCTGGTATTAACACTTATGTGGTTTATGTAGCGAAGCTTAATTTATGTGGGTTATGTGTTATAATTTAGACTTATGTCCGATTTGTTGTGTAGTTATAACTTTTGTGGGTTATGTGGTATTGTTCAGACTTCTGTAGGTTATGTGAAGTTTAGACTAATGTGGGCTATGTAGTGGATGTTAGACTTTTGTTTGACATGCGGTTTACTCATGACTTTCGTGGATTATGTAGTAAAGTTTTGGCTTGCATGGATCACCAGAGTTTATATTTCTGCGGTGGTGAGGATCCAAACAATAATATATATGATGTATATAAAACGATATATAAATAATACATTAATTATATATTATTAATATAAAATTAATTGGCTCTCCCACTGAAGCCAATTGAAGACAAAAGTCATAATAAAGTTCTTTTCTAAACTGTCACTGTCCATTGGGGGGTAGGTAGCTTGAATGGATCCTGAGAGAGAAACTGAGTGAGGGGAGCATGGGGTGGCATAGGGGGGCATTGAGAGCATTGGGGGGGGAGGGGGGACGTAATCAGCAACTCTGGCGCCTCGCAGCAAATTAAGGACCCGACTTAACTGCAAATAAATTGGCTGAACAAAAGCTTTCTCGGGCTCTCGTCAGTCCTTGTGAGCTCTTATGGGTTCTTGTGAGTTCTTATGAGTCCTAGCGAGCTCTTGTGAATCATTGTGAGTCTTTGTGAGTAATTGTGAGCTCTGAAGCGTGCTGGTTGATCTCCTGGGAGTTCCTTAAATTTTTGTGAGTCTTTTTGAGCTTTGATGAATCTTTTGAGCTCTAGTGAATCCGTGTGAGCTCCGGTGTGTCCATGCGAACTCTTGTGAGTCTTTGTGACCTCACGGATGTCCTTGAGAGCTTCTGAGTGTATAATACTCTCTTTTAGGAGCCTTATATTTCTGACCTGTTACCAGAAGTGACGGTTATAACTCTCGCAAGGTCCCTATATACATGGTGCACTATAAAGACACACTGCATGACTTCTGCAAAATAGAATTATCCTTAACATAATCCTGAGTGTTTACGTCTTCCATTCCGTCTATCCTTCTACTCTCTATCAGTACGCTATACTTCTCGCCACACTTTTCAGTCGAGTTGATCTATTGCAGCATCTTTCATCCGTTAAAATCCTTATCCTGACCCCTTCCAAGTGCTATATAGTCGTAATGGCTGGGCACTTTCCAGTGATAATTTCATTCCCTTTCTCAGCTGCTACTTACGTGTCTCTCCGCTGTCTCCTCAGATGGAGCAAGTGTTTCTAGTCAAGCACGGGGACAGCGGCTGCTCCTCCTCGGTGTTCCGTCTCTCACTGGTCCTGGGAGGTCTCCTGCTGCTTCTGGGGGTCGTCGCCTTCGTCGTCGCAGCCGTCGCCGCCAGGAGGACCGTCGTTGTCGGACAGGTGAGGTGCATACCTTTTTTTACAAGTTACGGAACTGCAGTAGGCCCTCTAGTCTGTGCTGGGCAGCAACACTTCAGTGTGCTGAAGTGTTGCTGCCCAATCACCAGCATGAGAGAGAGAGTACTGATCCGTGCTAGTCAGCGACACTTCAGTGTGTTTACTGATCCGTGCTAGTCAGCAGGTCTGCAGAATGCCTGCTGGCTCATGCGATGAGAGGTCAAATATGCACTCTGTTGTTTTCACTCATGCATCTGTCAGTTATGTTCTAAAGATTTGCTGAAATATTGTAAGAATCTTATTGTTAGTCTGTATCCATTTTGCTGGTTCTATTTATATATATGTACACCAATTATTCCTCCCCCTCTTTCAATCATAAATCGCCTCTATCAGTCATATATACCCTCTTTCAGTTATATATACCCTCTTTCAGTTTCATGTCCCCTCGTTCAGTCGTTTATTTCTACGTTCAGTCATGTATCCCCTCTTTCAATAATATGTCCTCTCATTCAGTCACATCTCCCCTTTTTCAGTCATATTTTCCCTCGTATAAGAACAAGTCCCTTCGTTCAGTCACCTCATTTTTTATTCTATAAAAGTTCACAGATTTTAACAGTAGTGATCATAAGCTAAACTTATGATTACCTGAAGATCGCACATCTTCTGTGCCAGGCAAGCTCACTTCGGGCTCACCATAGCCCGTGCTGCTTGGAATTTTTTGTTCCCAGTAACTGAATTTAAAACAACAACTAGAAGATACTTTAATTTTGGTACGGTGGTACGATGAACAAATCTGTCCATTTTATAGTACGGTGGACATACGGGTTCAATCTGTAATAATGTTGTTGTTTTAGATTTAACTACTTGGAATAAAAAGGTCCAAACAGCACGGGCTATGGTGAGCCCGTAGTGGACTTATCTGACACAGGAGCGGGGCTGTAACTGTCTGTAATAAGGCGGACAAACCTGTGAATTCAGTGGGCCAAACAGTCGACTCTGCAGGATGGTGACTAAAACTGTCCCATTTTCAGAACGGCGGGGTATCAGTGGTGGACAAAGTGGCCTCAGCACACAACGCCCAGGTGGACGCCCTCCTGCTGGTGGGCCTGGTGGCCGTCACTCTGGGGTCCTCAGTGGTGGCTGCTGCTCTCATATCCCGCACTTTCTGCTCCAGACCCGAGGAACCCATATATCCCTTCAGGTGAGTCTTTTGTTTTGAAGCAGATCCTTCCGCATGATGAACCATAGTGAGAGAACCGTCACTGGTCCTGTTTATGAGAGTCTCTACATGTTTATCCTGGTTCAGAACCATGGAAGGTCCTGTTAACGAGGTCTTCCCCATTTTTATCCTGGGTGAGAACATATGGCAGGTCCTGTTCACGAGGACCAATCAAGTGCCGTGTGCCAAATACCTCATCATACAGTCAATCGTCCAATTATCCTTTCTGGTGATCTATCCAACAGGCTATATTTCTTCCTGGTCCTTTTCGGGGAATATTCGGCTTTTCGGCGTTATTCTAAATTCACAATTTTCATTTAGTATGTCAGTGTAGATTTTAAATAGTTTACCATTAAGTTGACCAAACCACACACTAGAAAATGAAGGGACGACGACGTTTCGGTCCGTCCTGGACCATTCTCAAGTCGATTGTGAGAGTGATCAGGAATCACAATCGACTTGAGAACGGTCCAGGATGGACCGAAACGTCGTCGTCGTCCCTTCACTTTCTAGTGTGTGATCTGGTCAACATATTTCAGCCACGTTATTGTGACTCCTCGTCTGCAGTTTAGCATTAACTTGATTTTACTGAGTGGTGGTGATCAGGGCCTTCTGAACCCCCTTACAGGATGGGCCAATACGTGCTGGAGCCGCCTCTCTCCCCGATGGACGCCAAGGTGCCTGTGACGGAACGCCTGACTCAAGTGCAACCTACATGGGGACTAGCGAGCTACACTAGCGTCAGGAGTCTCATGCCCCTCCCATGACTCCTGGCGGCGCCCTCTACGCAAGCAGCAGTAGGGTGATTAGCCAAGAATGACAACGAGAGAGAGAGCACAGGGATAGAAGTTGTTCACTAGTGCGTCGAGTTATGGGGGAATGGACGCTGTGAAGACCAGCCCCTTCCTCGTTCCGAGAACATAGATGTGTCATCTCTATCTTTCCAATAATAAGGCCCGAGGAAGAGTGGATGTGCTTAGTTCCCAAGCAAAATCATTGGAATACAATCTCCTGCATCTACATTTATAATTGAATGACATTATTGGGAAGAAGCTAAGGAGATTTATATATATTTATCTAAAATATCTGATTGCTGCCCTCATGTCCTGTCTTCAATGGACAAGCGCATCCCCACTCCTTAAAAACAGGACAATGAGGGGGGGTTAAGCTAAAGATTCTCTTACGATTCAATAAATTCTTCCATAAATGCCATAAGAGTATTCTGCGGAATACTAAGTCATATCTACATAAAAGCAAATTCATAATAACTCCATCAAATAATTAGCTATAGTGGTCTCTTGGCCACCGGACAATAATATTTAATGTTTTCTTGCCACGATGTTCTAGATGGCCAAAGTAATTGTTAAAAGTGGTTTGAGGTAAATATTATTTAGTTTGACGTATTAATCTGCCATGTGGTAATGTATATCCTTTGGTTTAACGTACAGTATATATGCATATGTTTGAAGTATACGTATACATTACTTTCGTTTGACGTATATACCTCTGTTTGAGTATATATATATATATATATATATATATATATATATATATATATATATATATATATATATATATATATATATATATATATATATATATATATATATATATATATATATATATATATATATATATATATATATATATATATATATATATAAATATATATATATAGTTTAAAGATGAACAGGAGGACGATTGACGTGACAAACATCTTGTTTTAATTAATTTAAAATCTTAAAATCTAATCTGATTTAATTAAAATCTTCATTACTTTTAATCAAAACTCATAAAGTTTCGAGCGCTTCTCATATTCATCATCAGATCTAAAATCCAGAAGTGTCATTAAAGGCTAATCAGCAGACTAAAAAACTTATATTGAACAGGAATACAAACTTCAAGATAAGATTTGATAATATTCTGCATCGACAACTAAGATTAATTCAGAATTGTAATTATGGTTCGTCTCATGATAATTATTCTTGATCTCTGAAGATGCTAGCTTAGATATAGCATAGATATAAATGCTGGCTTAGATATAAAAGATATCCCCTTGTGCTCTAGTATCCTAATCTTAAGTTCCAAATGGAACTTCCAAAATACCCCTCATTACTGCTGGAATATTTATACATGTATACGATACTAGAGCCCAAGGGAATAGGCAGTCTATCTCTAAACTTAAAATTGGACCTTATTGTGTTCGTATTAACGAAAATAATCTTAAAGTTTATTTGAGAATAATAATGTTATATAAGCATCCTCAGCCGACTTTCCTATCTAGATAAGTCGGCTGAGTAAGATTTTAGTCTAACATTATAGAGTTTTATGTTAAATTTGATGATAGGTTGCCTATCATTTAACATTGAAAGTCTCCACTTATATTACATGTATTTTTAATTATATATATATGTATATATATATATATATATATATATATATATATATATATATATATATATATATATATATATATATATATATATATATATATATATATATATATATATATATATATATTATATATATATATATTAGTCTCCCCTTCACTGTGTCTTCAGTGCTCACTTTGAGTGACTACTGATCTCATAATTATATTTACCTAATTGTGTCACAGAGTATAATGTTTAATGACAGTTATTGCGTAATATTTGAATTCTTTTTATAATTGACATAATTGTAATCTGTAATTTGTTTGAACTTTTTATTTGTATATGATTTTTGTAATGTTTTTCGGTTATAAATATAATTTCGAATTCGTCTTTGTTGTTGGTATACAATGTTTAATCTTACTTTTGTGCTATCAATTTACGTAAGTTTAGTTTTGTATTGTGTTTTATTTTATAATTAGTTTGATATTATTTTAATTCTTGAAGTTTAGCATGTCCAGAGTAAGTGTTTTGTTTTATTAGTTTGGTATTAATGTCACTAATAAATTTTAGATTTGATGATGAATATTAGAAGTATTTGAAACGCTTTGGGTTAAATTAAAAGTAATGAAGATTTTAAATAAACAATATGTTTCTCATGTCAATCGTCCTCCTGTTTATATTTAAACTAAAATTCCCTAAGTGAATCTTCATTTTGAAATATATATATATATCAAGTCAAAACAATATGACATTATATTCAAATTATCTTGTCAATATTACATAAACAAATTCTAAACATGAGAACTCGATTCCTTAAAAAGATGTGTTGTGGTTGTGGGTGATTGTCAGCTTGACGAGAAGTTGTGTCCAGCTGTGTGTCTTAGCTGTGTCCAGCTGTGTGTCTTAAGCTGTGTCCAGCTGTGTGTCTTTAGCTGTGTCCAGCTGTGTGTCTTTCCTCCGTCAGCTTTCCGCCTAAGTTGGCTATGTCAGCTGCTTCGAACCAAGTTGTTTGGCTCAGGTGGTTGGAAGTCAGACGAGACATAGTCATTGCCTGTGTATATGTGTATGTATGTGTGTGTGAGTGTGTTCATGTTCCTTGTTACAAATTGGCTTTCCATCTTTTCAACTCTTGCCAACGATATAGTGTGAAGGTAAATATTGTGTGTTTTAGGGTGTATATTTACTATCATCAGTGACACCATTGTAAGTGTGTCATGTTCCAACAGTGTATAACACAGTCGGCCTTCTCATGTTCTCGGCCTTCCGTAAACTCATATTCACTTAACATTACAGGTCAGGAGTTTTATTTTTTTAGAAGATTTTAAATTAATTTCGAGATATTTCCCGTTAAGAATAAATACTAGTCAAAAATATAAGCAGTTTGATGGTTAGGATATATGACGGTAAATTTATTAGGTATATATTTTAATCGGAGATATGTACATGGATGCCAAAAAGAGACTTTAGGCACGAGCAGTTGTTTAATGGATCGTAATCTCGTACAAAACCTGTCCTTGGGAGGGTGTTTTGTCGTGTGATTACAGCACACTTGCTCGTCTCAGTTTGTAATAGTTCTGTAGTCGTTGTGAACTCTAGAAATATATTTTAGTCGGGTGTTGGTCTACTGCTTTTGTCTTCATCCTTGAGTTCACTCATTCTACACACAATATGTGGTTAGAAAAGCAATATGATAAGTGTTTAATTGACTCTTATATACAAGAAGGTACATTGGGTTTGTGAGGCTACATAGTATGGTATTTACAATCTTGTAAAGACACTAGTACACGCAGCGTTTCGGGCACCAGAGAACTTTATAGATGTTACTGGTTCTGTAAGAATTACCTCATCATCTCCTTTTCAACACATAAATAAAAATACAATTTACAATCGATAACAACAATTTACATCCTAGTTTCCACGAATGCATTGCATCAAGGAACCTTCAACATCTGGGGAATAGTGGAACCGTATACATAGTAGCTTCCTGTGGCGAGGGTCGCGCCTCTGTGCATGCCTTGCCTTATATTACAATACGGAACGCAAGACAATATAAATCTTCTTGCAATCCTTGCTTTTTAAAGTAAAGAATAAGAAGTTTGACGATAAATTAGCATAGAAGCATGTGAAAAGTTGGAAAGAACGTAAGAAAGAATGTAAATAGGTCCCCGGAGTTGATAATCGCAGTAACCACAAAATAAGTTAATTTTTAGTTACATTTACACGAGAGTGAAGGTAAACAACGCCCACGACTTTAAACAGCGTGCCGTGACTACATTAATGTCCGAGTGCATAAACATTACTCAGAGAGACGCACCCTGAAGTTCACGCAACACTGTGTTGTTGTGCTTTAATATTTACTGTTTGTTCTTGTAGAGTCAAAGCTCTTGGGCCATGCCTTTGTAACCGATATATTTTGTTCATCTATTATATCTACTATATATAGTTCTCTTTAACCCACACATATCCCAGGATGCAGTCCGTAGAGGTTGTCTTACTCCCAGGTATCTATTTACTGCTAGGTGAACAGTGGCAGCAGGTGAATGAATCTTTGCCCATTTGATTCTGCCTTGGCCGGGAATCGAACCTTGGATTTTTCGAACTACGACCCCCGAACGCGGTTCATTCTGGTTCAATTGTATGTGTGTGGATTCATGGAGGTAATGAGATGAATCGACACGATAAACATAGGGTGTATAATAAACATAGAATATACATAGGGGTGTATAAAAATGTATTTATACACCCTATGTGTATACATAGGGTGTATAAAAACCATAGGATAAACACAATCGACTTGAGAATGGTCCAGGACGGACCGAAACGTCGTCGTCCCTTCACTTTCTAGTGTGTGGTCTGGTCAACATAGGGTGTAGCCTGGAGGGTGAGTATGCCCCCACACGACACCTAGGGTGTAGCGCCTCACACCACACACAACATAACAGCCGCGACAAACTATCATCAGTCTTGGATAATGCGGTAAATTTGTCTCCAATTAATTTTTCAGGAGTTGAAGCAGCCGGCCAACGCGAGCCTCGCCACGGAGCCCAGGACGGCGGAGCGACGAGCCGCGTCCGGAACACAAACATCTTTAACAAGTGTAATTTGTCTGTAAAGCTGATAATATCTCCCAGCTGCTGAGGAGAGAGGCGGCGAGCGTGTCGCTGCACATTCATGAGGTCCATGGGTAAGGGGATGAGGAGGGAAGGGGGGGGGGTGATGGGGCGTGGGTAGCAGAGAGGGGGGTTACCTGCTTGATGGGGTTCTGGGAGTTCTTCTACTCCCCAAGCCCGGCCCGAGGCCAGGCTTGACTTGTGAGAGTTTGGTCCACCAGGCTGTTGCTTGGAGCGGCCTGCGGGCCCACATATACCTGCTTGATGGGGTTCTGGGAGTTCTTCTACTCCCCAAGCCCGGCCCGAGGCCAGGCTTGACTTGTGAGAGTTTGGTCCACCAGGCACTTGCTTGGAGCGGCCCGCAGGCCCACATACCCACCATACCCTGGGTGTTTTGGGGCGTGGGTAGCAGAGTGGGTAAGAGAAGTGGAAGTGGCAGGGAGAGGGTAGAAAGGGTATAGGAAATGGGGAGATGATAGGGAATTTGTCGAGAGGTTAAGGGAGGGGAGGATGTGTTGGGGAAGAATATAGGGCAGGTGGGTATGGTGAGGAGAGATTAGGGAAGGATGGGAGAGGATTATTAACAGGATGAAGGATATCCCAGAAGGTCAGATCTGTCTGTTTTATCAACAGGATGGAGGATGGCCCTGGATGCTAGACCTTCCTTCTCCATCAACAGGATGGAGGATGTCATATCTCCCTGCTGCATCAACGATATACAAGATCTCCCTACATTATTAGCAAGATGAAAGATATCATTGTATGATATCATTTTATATTTTAGCTTAACCTTATTATTGCAGCGATACAGTCAATTCAAATAAAAAACATATGGTGTTTTCTTATGTTATTAAGAAAAATGAACTGATTGATTATCTAGAAATAATATATAAAGTATGATTGATATTAAATGGATATTAAAATACATGTATTTCTTTGCTCCTCGTGTATTTAGGGATTATTTTATTCCTTTGAGTTTTTGGAAGGTCCTTGCCTACCAGATCCTCCAGTGACTATATAGAAACTGCCTGAAAAGTTATTAGGATGTTGGATAT